CGATTTTTAACCATAAATATTAAATCACTGATCCTAATTTTTCAATTGCTTTGCTCATTTAATCAAGAAATAAGATGAATACCTGGACAATATAAGTAAATTATCCCGAGGTGAAAATATATGCGATAATATCAAACTTGGTTCAGTTTTAGCCGAAATATGGTGTATTATGACAGAAATTAAATTTTCAAAGGAAATAGTCCCTAAAGAAAATATTCTTTGTTGTCTGAAGCCTTTCACTGAAACTTCGAACATTTTCAACTTAGTTCGATGAAGAATTAGCCATATGTTAAGAAGTCGGAAACTTGACAAGTTAATTGAGTTCTCGAGGAGGAACTGGGAAATGAGAGGTCAACTCAAACCCATTCTCCTTCACTGCGTTTTTCTGATGACGGTCACTTGAAGTCAACTCGATCACAATTATTTCATAATGAATTATGTCTGTTTCCAACCTTGACCTGGGATTGCAACGTAACGAACTTCCTTAAGGAAGTTTATCGATTTTTTCGCGAAGTTATTTTTCTATTTCTTCTATATTTTTTCGATGCGCCGAACAGTTGTTCGACTAATTTTTTACCATCATCCTTCGAATCCTGAACACAATACATAGCATTACTCCTTGTTTTTTTTACCTTGTTCAGGATGGTAAACAAAGAACCAACATTTCACCTTAATTTTTTAAAATAAATTGTTATGTGCATCATTTCCCAAGAAACACAGGCATTGCTGGTAGTTGTTCACTCATTTAATATCCTATTTTTCGTAAGTATTTGCCAGTGTTTAAAGTAGAAACGACATTCATAGGATAAAGAAAAGTTTACTTTTCAAATATACTGTAAAACCTTTTTCAAAATATATATGTAATGACCACTAAAATAAATCAATTCGTAAATTGCAGGGCATTTTGCAGGGCAAAAACTCCAACTCTAAAATGATTCATGGAGGCCCAGACTTGTAGATCCTGATGCATTCATGGTCTCTTTCTTTTAGTCTTCCATCTGTTCATTTTAGCAAAATTGTGATTTTGGAAAATGAGACCTTTTCAATGCAATGAGAAGTTCTTTGTACAGGTGAGCTCTTATACAACAATCTTGTCCACAAAAATTTTCTCTGCTGTCTAAATAATTCATTTTTGGTCCCAATGTTCTCTCCCCACTTTATAAGGTCCTTTATAACAAAATTCTTGCTACATTGACTTTTTTCTGGTCCCTTTAGTTTTGTTCTAGAGAGAGTCTACCAGGTGACTCATTTAAAATTGTAGCTATTGGGCACGTATCAGAACAATGGCTCGATTGTAAGCAATTTTTCATCATCATGATATTTGCTGTACAGTTGAACCTGAATAATTTTAACCTCCCAAAGTCAAATACCTTGGGAAGTTGAATTTTTTCAAGTCTCTGTCTTGAACCTTAGAAACAATGCATTAAAAACTTCTCCAACTTGAAGTCTTCTTCACTCAAACCTCTGTAAGTTGAATTTTTCAGGCCTATTTCCTTGAAATATGACACAGACAAGCAATAAAACAAGCATATGTACTAGAACAGTGTTACCCAACCTGTGGTCCATGGACCAGCGCTGGTCCTCAGAAATTGTTGCCAGTCCATGGGAAAATTTCATGATAGTACAATAAATGTATCAAAAGTCAGGATGAAGTCTGTTCTTTTTTATGAAAATTTCAGAAGAACAATGGCAGTTCAATTCTCTGATGAAAAAAAAGGTTGGTTTTTCTCCTAATAACACTTCAGACAAATTTTCACCTGATGAAATAATTTTTTTTTAATTTTTCATTCTGATGAGAAGCCTTTCTCCAAGCCCACCTTTCTATTTTTTCATGACATTCTTAACTGAAGTTTTCTTGCATCTACCTGACTAACAAAATGTAAGCAACATTTTGGCAATTCTGCAAAAAATTATGAAACTATGCTGTTCTGCAGAAACTTTTTTGGGAATTTGCCTGTCCGCAATTTTTTTTTATTTGGCCCGCGGGCCCAAAAAGGTTGGGAAACACTGTACAAAAATACATATAGAAGCATTATACAGTACTCTAAAAATCTAAGCAAAGAATCTGAAAATATTTTTAAAACGTCATGCCCCTCAGAATCTACTCTTTTACACTTGTGCTTCTTTATCTGCATTGTGCGGTTTTTTTTAACCTATAGCATCTTCCCGAGAGCAACCCGGGTCATCCTAGTAGGTTCGTTTTATTCAAATAAGCAGCAGCTCTTGGTTTCACTTCGAGTACAATTTCCTGTTATACTGGTCCCATAAAGTCCGATGCAACAATTCCAGACCCTCCACCATCAATTAGGGATGATTGCGAAAGTGTGGCGTGGAAGACCTGTCGAGGTCTCTGTCTCATGCTGCTCGCCCGACTCGGGTCAGTCTGTCGACAGCGTGGATCGACGCTGACGTTTGCGGCAATCATCGAGCCGAGCGGCAGCAGAGCATTTGCTGCTGCCTGCCGACATTTCCGGTGTCGATTGCATTTCCTGTGTTTGTTATTTGCATTCGAAACTAAAGAAATGAGCTGGATTTTTTTTTTGTTTTTTTGCGGGGATTTTTTTTCTTCGATTTTTTTTATTGCTCAGCGTTTGAGCTGGGAAAAAGTGCGTTGTGATGGTGATTGAAATGTGAAAAATCACATTTGTTTGTTTGTTTGTCAAAATTGTCAATCAAATTTGTTTCCCGAAATGTAATTCAATCGCCAGCTATAGGCGAAAATTGAGACTGCTAGTGACACCTATCTTGAGTGAGTCACTTGACTGAAAGTGACGACTGACCAAGTTGCAAATTTTATTGTGTGGATCCATCTGATACCCTGGAGTACAGTACAGTATTTTGCAAATGAACTTTTTCTTGATTAGCAGAATTTTCTCTCGTTTTCTTACTCTCCCTCCCCTTCTCTCCCTCTTTTGATGAAGGTGACATTTTTATGATTTCCTTGTGTTCTTCAAATACTGTATCTATAATAAATGCAAATTTTTAAAATTTCAGTCAATATTTGAAAAAAATGTCGCTGAATATTCGCATTCAAAAGTGGATATAGATTGGATGTAGAGGCTGGTTACATCGTTCCAGCTAGGTGGCGTTTTATGATTTTGGTTTTTTTTTTTTCAAAACATCTTTGATTTTCGATTCTATGATTCGTGAGAGTATTTCTGCTGATAAGAGCAGGAGACTTATGCGTCTGTTGGCAAAACTATAATGATGTGTAAAGGAAAGTTGTGATTGTGGATGTTTACTAGCTGAGCTTTGACTCACTGATTGAATTCACATCTGAATGTTATGTTTTTAAATTAGAAAAATGAGAGAGGAAACCTCTCTCATTATAATGTAACCATTAGAATATAACCTGTTAGTAAAAATAAGTACAGTATGTCTGAGATATAACCTGATTAAGGTGCAAATAGGAAATAAAAGTGTATCCCACATTCCAGATGACTGAGGTAAATTGAAATTCTAGGCTCAAACAAGCTGCCTTACAAGTATCATAAATTTGACATTATTATTATACTTTTATTTACACTCATGAATAAAAGTCTCAGCATTGCAAATGTGCATCTTCAATTAAGGCATTGGCAAAAAATGATTGGTTTCTGCGAGAAAAGGGGTTTTAACCAATGCATCCACACATTAGCAGTATTTTTGTTTACATTAATGTTTGTTCTACATGAATCTTCCACTCTTACCATAATTAGGATCAGTTCAATTACTGGTCCCTAAACCTGACTAGGGACCTACAGGTAGGTATTATTTTTAGATAACTAAAATCTTGGGCAAACTTTTGCTGAATTAACGTTTTGACAAATACTGAATATTAGTAAAATAAAAAAACATGTGTGCGTGATTGGGAGGGATATATTGAAATAAAAAACTGAGAAATCCCACCAGAAGGTCATGAGAAGAATTAGGCAATAAGGAATGCACTGTAGTAACTATTTTTCTGAGACAAAAATTTTTGCACCCGTGCTGTGTCTTATGACAAAAATACAGCAAGTTGTCAGCAAATGAATGTAATTTGTTTCAGTATAACTTTTCTTTGCTGGAAAGTTTGTAAGCTGGATTGAAACAATGCCAATACATTCTTCTGAAAACATTTCAAGTGTTTGCCCAAAAAAAAAACATTTGAGCCAGTGCAGAAACCTTACAAGTATCCAGTTTGTCATCTGGAAAGCACATTAGTCAGGGGATATTTTTATAGGAAAGACCCCACTGAAATGTTTACAAAAAGGGGCTTTGACTTGTTCAATTATGAAGTTTTATTTTTGGATGCAAAATATTTTCTCAAATGTTCTGCTTTTGTATACCTGTACATCAGTAAAATACACTTTTAATGACTTCTGGCCTATTTCTTGTTGTATAGTAAAGGATTTTTCCATGACACAGTGGATTTTCTGTAACAAGATAATATCTCTTCAAAAATGAAACCACTTTATTTACTTGAGTACCATGCACACATTTTTTGTCAAATTTCAGAAGAAAAAAGGGGTGCACGTCATACGCGGTAAACATTTTTCAAGAAGTTTTAGGAAGTTATGTGTGCATTATACTTAATTATAATGGATAAATTTGGAAAAAATGTAACAAGAAAACTTTTTTGTACTGAAGAAGTTCAAAATTGATCAGATTTTTGTTCAATTCATGTCTAAAGTCATTTTTTTGTTTATATTTTTGAAATATTGTGGTTTTACATTCACTAAAAATTGGGGTGTGCATCTTACTCAGGGATAAGATTTTAGCCAAATTTCCAACTGAAAAACCCCTGTGCGCGCCTTACTTGAGGGTGCGTGGTACTTGAGTAAATATGGTATATTCTCAGGCAAAAATTATGAGATAACATGTCTATGGTGCATAGGTCTCATATTTTTCCCTCATATTATTGGTTGAATATAGGGGAAAAAATAAAGCTCGTATAGCTGAAGTCTCGATATAACCTTTCTATATAAGGCGTCCCATTTACGCATTGCATTCTCTATTTCTTTCTCTCACCATCATCGCCCAGGTGAACGGCTTTCGCGATGTCGTTAGCATCAATGCTGTGTAGACTTTCGCTCGTCGCCGCCCTTTCGTCGACACCGGCGATGGCGTCCGGCGTGGAGATCCACGGCGACGCCGGGTTCGCGGCGTCCCGGCGCCTCTTGGACGGTCTTGTGCAGGGCAATGAAATCGACGTCGAGGACCGGATCAGGGCTCAACTGGCTCGCGACATCGTCGACGAGTGCAAGGGGAAAATCCTCGTCAGCAGCGGGGAAATCAGTCGACAGCCCAAGAATAAGCGTCCCTTCTACCTCAAGTTCTTTGAAGAGTGTCTGTACTTGAAACTGAGTCGGGTATGAGGAAGGCTTCGAGAAATTTGCACTAGAGAAAATAGACTCAATCCTTCGAGTAAATTTTTCGTCTATTTTGCGTGGTCTCAAGATGGCAAAAAGAAAAATTGCGCTTTTTACTCAATTACCAAATGAGCGCGCCTGGATTTTTTTTCAGCCCAAAATTTGGATAAAAATCCATCCCTGAGGAAGATATGCACCCCATTTTCAGTGACTGTAAAATTACAATATTTTGAAGATAAAACACACCAGGATAGTTGAATTTACCTGAATTCAATTAATTATCAATTTTCTATTTAAAAAGAAAAAGATGCTGTTGATGTCGGCCAGCGATTATTTTATTAGAATCCTGTATATGACAGGCACATACACTTCTAAAATTTTGAAAAAATTGTATACCTGCCCATGACTTGCATCCTCGTGATTTTGAAACAAAATTTCTACGTGGTACTTGAGTTTGCATCTGCATAATTACTGATTTAAATTTTTCTGGAGCGATTTCACAAACTTGAGAAAATGGCCAAATCTTGGGAGTCTTTTTCGATGCATCTGGACATGGGATTCTTTGGAAATTGAGGTTTTCAAATTTTGGCAGGGAAATGCTTTTCAACATTAATACACACTTCAACAATAAATCGATGAAGCTTGTGTCTTGAGTCACACTCTATAATGGTACTGTTCATCAATCCATAGAATATACCACATATGTTTCAGATTGAAAAATTTCATTTACCTCCTTCGAGATTTCATGGGTCTCTTTTGGCATCAAAAGCTCACAAATGGTGTGAGCATATTCGTTTTTGCGTTCTTTTCCTGAAGTCAGGAGAGCCTGCAAAAGTCCTTCTGGTTCAACGCCAAGATACTTTTACGATCACAATTCTTTGAAAGTTGCCAGTTATTTTCTCTCGCGCATTTTCAAATACGGAAGGAAGAAACGAAAATATATAAGCCTTGCGTTGAAAAAAAAATTGAGAAAATTAAACCGAGAAGGGGGAAAGTGAACAAAACACGTGTTTTATATTATAATGTATGGAATATATGGCTCATGTTTATGACAAGACCAGCAGAGTCTGGATACTATAACCACGCGCTTAAAAAAAAAGGGAAGGGGATTAATGACAAAGTTATATTTTTTTAAATCAACTTTTGCTTCTTTCTTTTCTCCCTAGATGGTGTGCCCACCACCTCTGTCCAACAGTGAAAGTCCGGATCCCAGTCTGAAGAAGAAACTGGAAAAGATCGACACTCAACTGGGTCGACACGATTCGTCCGAGTTATTGGTGTCCCCCAGCGACGAAGTTTACAGGTCAGTTCCCTTAATTATTTCTTCTCCGGCAAGAAAAACCTGTTCTTCCTTCCGTTAACAACGTTCTTCTTCGTTTTTTGTTTGTTTGATAATTCACATTTCCTCGGAATGAGGCTCACTACTAAAATAGGCATTATTGCGGTTGTGGAAGCGGAATTGTTTTTATGAGCATCATCTTGGTCAGAATCATTTCGTGAAAGTAGGTCGATTGAAGAATACGGTAATCGACACTCTAAATTTGTCTAATTCGGCTTGGAAAAATCAGAATTACATTTTTGACGAAGTCGAACGAAGAAAAATATAATCTTGTTTCAATTTTATTTCTCCGAAAATATTCAATTTTTTATAATGATCTTCTACGAAGACACGATCATAACATCAATTGTCAATTCGTTAAAAAAAACCTGGCGAAAATTTCAAGAAATACTTGGTAAATCCTTGCGATAAAAAACAATGAAAAATACTTTACTGCACATTGATTTTGTCTAAAATGTCACACCTTGAACTGGGAATAGTTTGGAAATTTCGTTTTTTGCGCTGAAGACGCTCAATTTGTTCATGAAAAGTATCGGAAGATTCCATGAAGTAGTGAGTGTACGAATCACAAGCATTCAAAGGAAGGCTTTTTTATAATTACTTGGAAGAAAATTCCTAGGAATTCCAGGTATTTTTATTATGCGCCAGAGAAATCGTTGAAAGTAATAATCAAAAATCATAAAAATAACAGTCGCAATAATATTTTGGGCAAAAATTTGTTATTGTACAGAAAAGACGCAATTGAAACCTCCACCAGTGACATCTATCTGCGCTCAGAAACTTCAATGGAACATAGCGGGCAATAATTATAGTAGATTAAAAATTAATCTAAAAAACCACGTTTTCAAAAAGCAAAAAACGAAATTTCCAAACTATTCCCAGTTCAAGGTGTGACATTTTAGACAAAATCAATGTGCAGTAAAGTATTTTTCATTGTTTTTTATCGCAAGGATTTACNAGAGAATTGAACTGCCATTGTTCTTCTGAAATTTTCATAAAAAAGAACAGACTTCATCCTGACTTTTGATACATTTATTGTACTATCATGAAATTTTCCCATGGACTGGCAACAATTTCTGAGGACCAGCGCTGGTCCATGGACCACAGGTTGGGTAACACTGTTCTAGTACATATGCTTGTTTTATTGCTTGTCTGTGTCATATTTCAAGGAAATAGGCCTGAAAAATTCAACTTACAGAGGTTTGAGTGAAGAAGACTTCAAGTTGGAGAAGTTTTTAATGCATTGTTTCTAAGGTTCAAGACAGAGACTTGAAAAAATTCAACTTCCCAAGGTATTTGACTTTGGGAGGTTAAAATTATTCAGGTTCAACTGTACAGCAAATATGAGCATGATGAAAAATTGCTTACAATCAAGCCATTTTTCTGATACCTGCCCAATAGCTACAATTTTAGATGAGTCACCTGTGGACTCTCTACAACAAAACTCAAGGGACCAGAAAAAAGTAATTGTAGCAAGAATTTTGTTATAAAAGACCTTATAAAGTGGGGAGAGAACATTGGGACCAAAAATGAATTATTTAGACAGCAGAGAAAATTTTTGTGGACAAGATTGTTGTATATAATGTAGAGCTCACCTGTACAAAGATCTTCTCATTGCATTGAAAAGGTCTCATTTTCCAAAATCACAATTTTGCTATACAATGAACAAATGGAAGACTAAAAGAAAGAAACCATGAATGCATCAGGATCTACAGTCTGGGCCTCCATGAATCATTTTAGAGTTGGAGTTTTTAAATGCCCTGCAATTTACGAATTGATTTATTTTAGTAGCCATTAAATATATATTTTGAAAAAGTTTTTACAGTATATTTGAAAAGTGAACTTTTCTTTATCCTATAAATGTCGTTTCTACTTTAAACACTGGAAAATACTTACGAAAAATAGGATATTAAATGAGTGAACAACTACCAGAATGCCTGTGTTTCTTGGGAAATGATGCACATAAAAATTTATTTAAAAAAATTAAGGTGATATGTTGGTTCTTTGTTTACCATCCTGAACAAGGTAGAAAACAAGGAGTAATGCTATGTATTGTGTTCAGGATTCGAAGGATGAAGGTAAAAAATTAGTCGAACAACTGTTCGGCGCATCGAAAAAATATAGAAGAAATAGAAAAATAACTTCGCGAAAAAATCAATAAACTTCCTTAAGGAAGTTCGTTAAGTTGCAATCCCAGGTCAAGGTTGGAAACAGACATAATTCATTATGAAATAATTGTGATCGAGTTGACTTCAAGTGACCGTCATCAGAAAAACGCAGTGAAGGAGAATGGGTTTGAGTTGACCTCTCATTTCCCAGTTCCTCCTCGAGAACTCAATTAACTTGTCAAGTTTCCGACTTCTTAACATATGGCTAATTCTTCATCGAACTAAGTTGAAAATGTTCGAAGTTTCAGTGAAAGGCTTCAGACAACAAAGAATATTTTCTTTAGGGACTATTTCCTTTGAAAATTTAATTTCTGTCATAATACACCATATTTCGGCTAGAACGGAACCAAGTTTGATATTATCGCAAATATTTTCAACTCGGGATAATTTACTTATATTGTCCAGGTATTCATCTTATTTCTTGATTAAATGAGCAAAGCAATTGAAAAATTAGGATCAGTGATTTAATATTTATGGTTAAAAATCGTAAGACCATCTGTTGTCATAAAATCTTCAAGGCTAAGGCAATTGTAGATTATTTGAAATATAATTAAGTTACAAGTTGATAAAGAATCCGCAATTTACAAGCGATGGTATCAAGACAGATTCATGCTATTAAATATGGAATTTATTCAGGGGCAGGTGTCTGATTTATGGGGAGATGCAATAACAGCCATGAAATACCCAAACGATTTTTAAAAATTAATTTTGTGAGGAATATAAATGCAAAACGGATTTCGTAAAATACTCGGCCTGTTTTGCTCTATATTTTCATTTCCTGAAATTATTCAACATGGACAATTCCAATTCGTTGCTGTCCCAGAAAGCATAACGATGAGTTGGCCGCCACTCGTGTCACCTTTTTTTTTCCTTTGGCCAACCTGATTCGTGGTTGCGTAATTGATGGCTGACGATAGGGCCGAGTGATCGGGGCACTGACTGGTTATTCTTTCATTATTTATATTTATAATATATTTATTCATGTTGTACTTCCTGGCCCGCGACGAAACCTGGGTTGCGCAGCAGCAAGTTCATGGACCTGGAACGCGGCAAGTTTGGTCAAGAATAATTTCACAAAACTATTATTCTCAATCAGGTATTTTGCGTTTTCACATTTTATTATTTCTTTTTAGAAGCCTTATAGGGGCCAGAGAAAGTCATAGTGAAAGTCTTTGGGTTCTTTCTTCTTTCAGTTTTCATTCGGTCGTTTATTTTGCCTCCTGAACGAATCAGGCAGTTTTAATTATGGTTTCAAAATTCTGACTGTCATTTTTTCCAGGAAAATTTACTGTTACTCAATGCAAACTTGTTGAAAATGTCTGTTTCCAACAATAACTCAATGAGATTTCATAAACAGCGGTCGGAAGTGTTATCGTTAAAGAAAAAATTGAATCCATTGATTAACGGTCGTTGAAGTACGGTACATTACTTTCATTGTCTTGTCTGAAACACGTCCGCACTTGTATGAAGGAATAAAAAAAAATAAACTTCTACTAGTACAGTATTCCAATATTCTATTAATGTCTTTAACTGAATTCCAACGCATGTAGAACTCTTTTTTTATCCCAAGACATAAATTGGTAGTAAAGTATACAGTACTCGTATGTGGATTTTTGTTGAAGAATGTCTAAAGTAGTTTTCAGCATCATAAATATAGGCTTTCCTCAAGTTCGATTGAGGAAGTTCAGCGAGTCGACGACTTTCCCGCACTTGATGACTCATTTTTATCTAAATTTCGACCTCATTATCTCTGCCAAACAATGACCAAGAGCAAGCATCTAATTATTTGCGAGTTCCTTGGAAAATTTTCCCACTACACAGCTGAAAGGAAAAGCATGATGTTGTAGTGTGAATAAATAGGGAAGAAAGGTGATATTGTTTTTTCGAAAGTGGATGGTGGGAATTTAATAAAGGCATGCATGTTGATGGCAGAGCTTTTATAAAGGGTAAAAACTGGGTTGATTAACTCTTTCTGTGTTGATCGTAATGCGATTTTCGTTCTCAGCCAAGTGCAACATATAAGCAGAACAAACACAAAGCAAGGATTGTTTATTTGTTAGAAGAATGAAGCACACACAAAAATTCCAAGATTTAAAAGACAGATTTTTGGAGTGTTTCTGGGTTAGAATGAAACTCGGGTCACGTCTTTCACACGTCGTCATGGATGATTTGAGTCTAACGGACCTCAAGATTCGAAATTGGCAAGTGCAAAACGTTTCGATATGAAAAACATTTTCAGAATTGCATACTCGTAATAAAAGACCAATTTCAAAGCGAAGGACTTCAATTTTTCATTCTTTGAAACTTGAAGTTGTGATTTTTTTTGTGTGTGTCACGGGTTCACGTAGTTTTCTCATTTATTGTTGCCTGTCCACGCCTATAAATTATATTCATGTGACCTTGCTTTGTTCTCTGCATAGACAATGAATCGGTCGTTAGTTTTATGTGCCTCGGGGAAAGTTTAGAAAAAAAACATGCACTTGAATCCAAATAAAAACTTTATAGTTGTTTTTCAGGATATTGACATTCAATGGTCAATAGGAGATTTTGTTCTTTTGAAAGGTATATCCGAGGGTTGGTTCATAATTTTTTTTGGTAATTTTGAAAAACTCGTCTTATTTGATTCATGGAAAAGGGTTTCTTGACATAGATTCAATTCGGACCAATTTGTAAGTTTGTGTTAAATTTTGAATGGTTTCAACAATAAGTTGTGCCATGTACTGTATGTGAGACCCCCAGATAAGGAAATAATTGGTACATCAAGAGTGTCCCTAAGTTGGGTCTTGTTTCCCATATAGACTTACATTGTATAATTTTTAGTTGGTGTTTTATGGAAGAAATATTCTTCAGAATTCCATGAAAAAAATTTTTGTTTGCCTCTTGAATTTGATTCAGTGAATATCTTTTAAACTCAATAAGAACATTTGGTGCATTGAATTGTGTACCTCTGTACAGTACATTGAAAGGCTGGCATCTGTAAAATAACATTCAAGTGACAATAAAGAGAGAAGGAAGTCCTTTTATGCTGTGGTTAATTCTTGTAATTAGCTGAATGGATGGAAAAATGATGGGAGAAATATCAAAGAAGTTTATCTTGCATAGATCTTAGGGTTGGAAATATTTGTTTCTTGCAATTAAGCCTAATAAAAGTCAATTTTCCTGAAAATTATTGGCAATTTTATCATGTAATGTCCACATGTTGAGTCTGTCTGTTGTGCCTCTGTAAATGCATTTTTTATTGAAAAATAAATGTCCCAGTGTCAAATTGTCTGCATTTCAAGGTGTCCGCAAGTGAGGGACACACTGTATATTAATACCCATATTCTTTAACTTCATTTCCTTATTTCTGATGTCTGTGAAGCAAAAAAGGGTCAAACCTGGATTAACAAAAATCCGAACGAAGTCAAAACATGATGAAAAATATTCAAGATAAAATTTGATTCACCTATAACCGTTTGAAACGGTGGAAAGTGAAGCATATAATTCAACTTATGAACCTTCCCTGTCTGTATTACTTTATTCCGAAATGCGAGCAATAAGGAAATCGAATGTACAAGAAAAAACGCGTCGGCTATAAATCTTGAAAAAAAAACAGAAAGATAAATTCCAAACTTATTTTTTAAAAGATCAGATCATTATTTAGAGGTAAAGCTCAAGTTAACAAGGTTATCAACGTGTAATTCCAGTCGAAAATGATCCTTTATAATTTTTTATGTCATTTTCGAGCCTTAATCACGCTATTTTTAGCTCAAAGGTGTTCGGAGAAAACGGCCCAAAACAGGTTTGCATGATTTTAAAAAATACAGTGATGTTTAGTATTTAAAAATAGTAGTACTAGTATATATTAGTATTTAAAAAATACTAGTGATCGATATGTAGTCCCAAGACAGATAAGATAAGAAATAAATGAAGTACTGTAGACAAAATAGGCCGGATTGGACCCTTGGCTAAATTCTGTCATTTTATTTAGCACAATCTCGGGTAACAAAATTAATTCCATGTTTCAATTGGCAGCAATAGCAGTATATTCCAAATACATTTTTGACTACCACGCCAGCAGTGAAAAAAATTAAGTTCTGTTCTTG